AAAAATATACATAATATTCTATTTGATAATAAGAATTGTATTAATTTTTTGTATGAAAATAATATACTTTACAAACAAACTATTTGCAAATCCTGTAATTCAGAACTATATTTCAATAATCATATATACAAACAAAAAATATATACTTGCAAAAATCTTGAATATTATAAAACCTTTGCTATATACAAAGATACAATTTTTTTAACAATAAATTAGAATGTACAAATATTTTAATGATTGCATACTTATGGTTGACAAGAGTAAAATATACACAAATAGCTTTAATTACAGGTTTTTCTCCAAATACAATAGTCAAATTTTGTAAAATATTTAGAAATCTAGTTATCAATACTCTTACTGAAGAAGATGAAATTATAGGTAGTGATAAGATTATTTGTGAGATTGATAAGAGTCTTTTTAATAACTTTTGAATCATTAGTAATTAATAAATTTAATTTATATTTTATTTATTTATAATATGTTTTATATTCTAATATATTTTTTTATAGGAGCTATTGAACGTACAAAAGAAAAAAAAATGTTTTTTGAAATAGTTGATAATAGAAATACAGATACTATCAGAGCAATAATTAAAAAACATATTAAACCTGGATTAAAAATATATTCTGATTCATGGAAAGGATATTCAAAACTTGAAGAATTAGAAATAAAACATGTTCATATTAATTATTCAAAAAGAAATATTGAATATTTAAAAAGAAAGATTCATTCAAATACAATTGAAGGTATTATTTTTTTATTAAATTATTAATTTATTTTTTTAAAAAAATAATATATTGTTTATAATTAGGAACTTGGGTTGCTTTAAAGAAGTTTATACCAAAATACAATAGACGTAAAGATAAAATTAAACTTTATTTGAAAGAATTTATATGGTGAAACAAACATAGAGAGAAACTTTGGATTTCATTTTTAAATACATTAAAACAACCTATTAATTAATTAATAATTTTTATTTCTTTTATGAATCTTTAAACTATATATTTACAAATTTTGAGAATAAAAATTTTTCTACATTATAATATTTATACAATATAATTTTATTATATATTCTTTATATTCTTAATATAACTCTATAATCTTATAATTATTAAAGATAAAAATTAGTACATCTGTATCATACTATGAAAATTTATTACACTTAACAAACAAGTTTAACCATGAGATATTTTTACTACAATACTATTTTTATCAATAAAGAAATGTTTCTAGCCAATATCGAATTAAAAAATAATAATAGCCAAAATTTAAAAGCATTACTCCAAAAATTGCTAAAGTGTATTTGAATATTTTTGAAGAAATAATCTTGTAAATAAAAAGTTGAATATCAAAATTAATTTGATATTCTTCAGGTAATGTATTTGAAATTAAAAGAATAAGTAAAATTAAAATTGTTAAGA